AAAAAAAAAAAAAAAACAGTCCAAAAAAAAAAAAAAATACTGCATAAGTAAAGGAATGCTGTCAGTACACAGCTGGAAACACAAATTTCACCACAGAAACACGAATCAAACTAACAATATGTCTTTATCCATGCTTTCAAAATATTAAAGCATTGCGAATACTTCGTAGAAATGTAAAAAAAATCACAAATAGATATACTTCATATTACCAAATCTATTCAAGGTTATTTCATGCATTTTGTTGGTATAGCAATTAATAAAACAAATATCAAACAAACAGTGTGTCTTTATTTGTATTCTCAGAATATTAAAGCACTTTGAACACTTCACAGAAATGTTTAAAAAATGATGAAAAGATATGCTTAATACTATCAAATCTATTAAAGGTCATTTCGGTCGATGCCATTTTGTCTACTTCGACTCACGCGCAGCAGCCAAACTGTCAGGTGGCCTGTCCGACCTTCAGCCCACCAAATACTTCGACGCCCTTGTCGACCCTTTTTTCGCTACAGAAAACCTGGTATGTGCTGCTTTGTACAGAATGTCACAGAAATTTTTCGGGCGATAATCGCTGGCTGCCGCCAGCCTTTCGCATAATTGTAAAAAGGTGATATCTCCATGCCCAATATCAATGGCATACCAATCCAAAACGACGGCGCCCGTTCTCTTTATGACTTTTATTGTAGTGTAATTTGAAAGTAATCCTAGAGATGAATTTGACGGCAAAGCGGCCACATTTCCACGTGGCGATAATACGCATGCGCAGAAAGCTCATTTCCTGGCAAATTCAATAACGACGTTTGCGACAACCGACTTCGGGGGCTGGGGGGGGGATTTTTTTTTTTTTCGGAGAACGGGCGAAAATCGGTGCGCGCGCAGGATGTCATCCATAAAAATAAAAAAGTGTGGCCTTATATAGGTCCTCACTGTGGTCATCTGGCTGTTACCACATACAAGTACAAAAAAAAAAAAACTTTTCAAGAGACTGCAGGGTTAAAACATCAGAAAACGTATGTCAATGCATGGTTTATCACCTAATTTTTATCATCATTTTATATAAATCTAAAAAAAAATGAAAAGCATTTCACCATGTTCTATCATAGCTAAACTGGATAAGATCAGGGGGGAAATTTATGCTTGTTGTTCAACTAACCCCTGTTTCCAAGTTTTCTCCCTCTCTTTCCATATCGTTTGCTGGACATTTCCTTGACATGTACAATACCATTATCATCAACATCATCATCATCATCATGGCTGACCACATGACTTTCTGCATTGTCATGCTGATGGTTAATGTCACCAGTATTGCTACTGTCAATGACAGCATTGTCACCTAAATGTTTACTGTCACCAGTTATGATACTGTGACTAACAGCATTGTCAAGTTGATGGGTACTGTCACTTGAATCGATGTGGATTGCGACATCATCACCATCGTCCTGCGATTCAGCAAAGATATCCTCCATACTGCAGGCATCGAAGCTCTGCGCTCTTCTCACTGCTTCCAGAAACACAGTGTTGTCCTCATCTGTACTGTGACCTTGACCCTCAAGGTCAGCAGGGTGTTCTTTTAGGTCCAGACTTTCACCATGACCTGTCAAATCTGGGTCAGGTCGATCTCGGTCCCCAGTTTTGGTGGCACTGATCCCATTCATGAAAAACATCATTTGATCTCTACTGGTCAGGATCTGCTGGTCAGTTTTAGCCTCATTAGAGCTGTGGTCACTTCTACTGATTTGATTGTCATTCACAGACAGATGGAAATCCTGTGGTGATAGGTGCTCCAGGACTAAATCTTGACTGTCAGTTTTGTGTCCCATATTAGGTATGCTAGACTCCTTATCATCTTTTGACTTGTCTTGTCCCTGACATAGCATTTTATCATTTTTCAAGTCTTTGTGTATCACCACAGTGCTACCAAGCTTGGATAATTCTTCGGAAGTAATTGACTGCCCAGCTTTACATATATTTGTACTGTCACTACGATGATCATATATGTTGAACTGTTGGTATTCTAAGAGGTCTTGTTCTATTTCTGGTGTCATTTCCCTTTTTGTGTCTTTATCGAGATGATTCAGGCCCATTTTATTTTCACAAACTGTGTATATAGTATTGACACTGTCAGTGAGCTGCAAGGATTCTCTCACTCTATTTGCAGCAGTTTCAGAAAAGCATCTGCGACTATTGTCTTTAGGAAGAGTATTGGGGTCCATGTCAGAAAGCACCGTCCTCTCATTGTCATCTTCATGTACTGAATCATCCCTAGTTACATTATTTGTTCCCTCAGTGCCTCCCTCTTTTGGCATAATCTCAAACTGAAACGTAAGAGAATATGAACTGTTGTTATTGCTGTTGCTTTTTGTCTATTTTCTTATAAAATATGTTACAAAAACTGATTCTCTTTTTTTTCAGTTTAAAATCGTTCTTTTAGGGTATTACAAATAAAAATTTCATTCTAAAATGAGTGGACAATCATCATGCTTACCTTATAGATGAACTCTGAGTTTTCCTGTGGCTCATATTGGCCTGGTTTGATCTGTGCTGCCATCAAATGGCCAAATGCTATAACGTCTCCCAAGTTCAGCTTACAGCAACCTTCTATCTGGAATGTGATTCATAGTAGCAACAAATTAGTCTTTTTTATTAAAAGAGAAAAATACACATTACTTTGAAACATTGGTTTTATCAAAGCAAAAGCTAAAATATGCCAAAGTCTTAATAAGAATGGCATAAGTTCATCTGAAAAAGAAAAATCGGATTCAGTCTGAGAGTTATTATAAAACAATTAGTGTAATAAAGAAGATCAACTTTGTTTACATACAGAACATTCAAGGGTAACATCATACTTAAATAATTTGCTTCAGCCAAACGTCTAATATTGCACTGAAGCCACAAAAATTTGGAAAAATGTGATTACATTTTTCAAATTTCCTCTGGCTCACAGTGACCACATTTTTGTCCAACTGATACAAAGGAGGTTGATGATGATAACTGGTGAAGAATTACCCAAATTCTGTAGAAAACAAACTTATACTTTGTGTCACTTATATGAAGGAGGTTGATGATAACTCGTGTTGAAGACACTCTCTGCTAGGCTATGAAACACAGGGCACTCTCGCTTACCCTAATATCATTGACATAGGTCCCATTCAGGCTGCTGTCAGTAAGGTAGAAATTGTTTTGCACCCTGTCTATCATAGCATGTCTCCGTGATATCAGGTTTGGGTGCAGCTTAGAGTCCAGGTAGAAGTCTTGTCTGCTTGGTTGGCGCCCCAGAATGATGTGATCTTCTTGTAACCTGTGGCAATAGCAATTTTAGTTTCGATAGATCACTAGCTGAGAGTCTGTCAAGACTATATAATTAACTTTAGTTTTTTTCCAGACATAACAAAAAAAAATTTACACATATATAAATAAAGTTATGCAATAACAGACAAATAAGTTTTTCAATTTTACATGCCCAGTAAATTTCTTTGTTACATTTTATTTATTGTATCGGTTCTGTGATTGTTCATACACGTGCGTGTATTTGCGTATGTGTGTGTGTGTGTGTGTGTGTGTGTGTGTGTGTGTGTGTGTGTTGAGAGAGAGAGAGAGAGAGAGAGAGAGAGAGAGAGAGAGAGAGAGGTCTTAGGCTTAGCTACATAGAAAGGTGCACAATGAATGGAAACAATATCTAAACTAACATGCAACATATTGCAGTAGGGATCTACCTATCAGTCTTGCTTGTACCGCCTCGAAAATCCCGACTTAAACTAGAATCCTGGAAGTAAACGATTAAACTCAATTACATGGCGTTCTTAGAACATTTAGTGAATTTTAACAATGGAACTAGGACATCATCTTATAAGCTAGATTTAAACTGCAATGAATATCTTACAGATGAAAAACACTGGTTGTCTTACCACATTGAGGTCACGGTTGTTTTCCACGCCATCGTCAACCACGGCTATATTTACGCCAGCACCGGTATAACATCGAGCCCAGCCACTCTCCGCCTTCATTCCGTCTAACTAAAGAATTAATAAAAAATACACCGTTTTATCCAAGTATTACACGAAGAGCATTTCCTCTATAGGTGGTTTTCAATCAAAAGTATGGGGTTTTTAGTACCATTGTAGCGAACTGAAGTTGTTTAA